TGATTTTCTTTTTGGAAAATCTTCTAGGAATGTTTATTAACAAGTTTTATATACGCAAGAATTTTTTTGGGAAAAATTAATAGCCAGCAGCCCCAGCCGCTTGTAGCAGACAGTCGTTTTTTTGGTTTTTTTGATTTTTTTTCACTTAAACCGTCACAAAAAATTTATTTTTCAATGAATTTTTGATTTTCTTTTTGGAAAATCTTCTAGGAATGTTTATTAACAAGTTTTATATATGCAAGAATTTTTTTTTGAAAAATTAATAGCCATCAGCCCCAGCCGCTTGTAGCAGACAGTCGTTTTTTTGGTTTTTTTTCACTAACACCGACTCAAAAAATTTATTTTTCAATGAATTTTTGATTTTCTTTTTGGAAAATCTTCTAGGAATGTTTATTAACAAGTTTTATATACGCAAGAATTTTTTTGGGAAAAATTAATAGTCAGCAGCCACAGCCGCTTGTAGCAGACAATATTTTTTCATTAATTATTATTGTTTGATTATGTAAGTGTAAATTGTTTGTTAATTAATCATATTTTATAATTAATAATCATATTATATTAATCATATTATCATATTTATGTTCATGTAGTATCATAATGTAATGTGTGAATCATTAGAACTGTTTTTATTTTTATTTATACGTTGCTGCCCGATTTGCTAGTGGTGGCGTTTAGTGTAGTGTCGACGCCTATGGTTTTGTCTGCTGTCTGCCGGCTGGCGGCTCGCTAGTTTCACCGCGCTTATCTTTTTTAATAACATGCATACTGCATATTGTTTAATAAAGTTAAAATGTAAAATGTAGTAAACAAACTTTTCTAACCTCAAAATTTATATTTTATCACGAATTCAGAGAATATATCAATGCAAATGAATCAAATATAGCATTCCAATGAGTCCAAGAACTTTAAAAAATATTAATTTTTGACAGAGAAATAAAAAAAAGTATAAAAACACTGAAAATTTGTGTTTCTCTTACAAGGAACACTACCCAGGTGTACCTTACCGATTTCGCTCATCTTGTCGTGTCGAATATTCTTCAAAGAACTACAAACATATCACAAGATGAGTGAAATCGATGAGGTACACCTGAGTAGTGTTCCTTGTTAGATATCTAATTGAAAAATTAACGTATTCTCTTTGTCAAAGTGCGCCATTTCTTTCAAAATTTTATTAGGTTTAAAAAAATTTTTAGGAACAAATTTTAGTTTTATTATTTTTTAAGATTTAAACCATTTACAGGGCTAATAATTATTCTTATTATTTGCAGACTATGTTTCGCTTGCAACTAAAGAAAAAATGGGATTTCATAATATGACCTTTACTGAATTTAAGCAGGCTTGCAAAAATAAAAATCATAGACTAACTGAAGCACGTAAAATAACAAACAAACTTCGTGACGATTTTACTGGAAATTGTACAGATTCTAATCATCAAAAAAAGATTAAAGATTTAGTTAATGAAATATTGCCTTGTTTGGATAAAAATAGTCAGCCAAACGAAGCTGAATTAAAAACAATTTACAAAGAGATTACGACAAAATTATGCATTCACTATGAATATGGTAATCACATAAAATGGGTTTTATACATGTATATTTTTTTAATAGGGAGGAAAAATAAATATCTGTATTTATCTCAATGGTGAAATAGATCCCTTTTCAGATATTTGACTTTGTCTTTTTCTAATCAATGAATGTGTTTATTGCTTAAAAAAAGACAAATTCCAAATGGAACTTTCTTCACTGTTTCATATTCACTAAATTAATAAATCTAGATTTTATTTAACAAAAAATATAAATAATTATTGATTATATTGCAAAATATGTAAATGACAGACCATGAAGGTTCTATGATTCACTATACAAATTTGTTGCTGAAAACGTAAAAAACACACATATATATATATATATATATATATATAATTAAACATTATATTAGAATATCAATTTTTTTTTAGTCAACTTTAAAAGGAAAAATGAGAATTGTTTTAAAACAGATGATTTAGCCTATCCATGTTTGTATAAAAATTTTAAAACCTTTAGACCCGAATTTAACAAACTCTTCTCGACATTGGCAATGACTCATTCACATCAAGAGTGCAAGTAAGTGTTATATATTATTAATTTATAATATGTGTTGAAAGAACGTCATGCGCCTGCTTGTACGATACTGATTTCTTTTACAATATATATGTTTAACTCATAATATAATCTAGAAAAATTTTGAAGAGACTCGTAAGATTATAATGAATGATTTTGTAACAATTACAAATTTTTTCTGTACATAATTTTTCATTATTATACGAGTTAAATAATATATGTCTACATTTCTGTAGCGCAACTCATTTTATTCAATCATCTTGCAAATGATTTTTACATCATACTTCATTATATTTTGACTATAGAACAAGTTTTTATAATATGGTTTAAAAATAAATATAAGTATAATACCTATTTTTTGATAGAGCTATTTATATTACAATAAATTATTTTATTTACAGCTTTATCAAACTTAAAATGGCGTGTTTATCGAATAGAAATGAAACTGATTGTGCTCCTCAACTTAAAATTCAACGTGACAATATAATTGAAAAGTATGCATCAAATTTAAAGTGTGCCTAAAATTTTTTTTATTGTGTACTTCATGAATTTTATTTCATTAAAAATTATTGAAATCACGGTTGAGAAATAAAATCTTTTTGAACTGTAATGTGTCTCTTTTTTTAGATTTAAATATGTATAAAAATAGTTTTATAGAGATCATGTAAATACTTCAATTATTTGTAAAAAAATAATAATAATGAAATAGTCTTTTTAATGTAAAAATTACAAAATATAGGGGAGAGTAGTCAGGGTTGCGCCATCGCGTTTATTTTGTTTTATCACACTATATCCATCTGTCTTTGTATGTAAGTATTTGTTAGCAATGTCAGCGAACTTTTCACATACGTTGTAGTGAAGTGTGCGAACAATAAAGACGTATTATGCAAATCAGTGCTGTACGCTCAACAAAAAACTTTTTTCTTCTTTCAAAAGAAGACAATTAAGTGCAGAAAACATATCCCAGACAGCACCGTTTTTCGCAGGGAGTTCGCGGGGAGTTCCCCGTGTTAAGTTCAGAAACTAAGTTGGGGAGCTTCAGGGGAAGTTCATGCGAGCTCTATATGTCCTCGGTTTTATAACTCGCGGTGCGAAGTTCAGGATAGTTATCCGATTAAGTTTGCCGAAAAATTGTGAATAAAAGTTTAGGAAATATTGAATTTTGAGTTTTACAGAAATTTGCTTTGTGAATTTCTTTAAAACTATCTCCGGAAAGTACTCTAAAGATATATAGACAAATTTCCTGTAAAATTAAAATACAAGTTTTCAGTGAATTTTATGAGGTAAGTTTATTATAAATGTTTTATAATATTTATTAAATAAAAGTAAAATTAAAAAAATTTATTTTTCCCTTATTGCGCTTTCTTTTATTTTTCCCTAACATTAACGGCGCAATTTTCGGAAATAAATTTGGAGGAGCTGGGGATTGAACCCGGACGCGCAACACAACAGCCAAGAACCCTAACCACTAACCTAACCAACAACCTGAAGGTGGGTAACTTTTGGGTCTTTATAAGCTGCAAGCCTTGTCGTCATCAGTTGACACGAATGGCGGGAAAATTTAAAAATGTTTTCAACGAAATATTTTTAAATTCTATTATTAAATTAGTGTCATAATTAAAAGGGCATTGAAATAATATTGCAATGTTAATATTAATATTATTTGTGAAACTAGCAGCTATATAAAACGATTTAAGGTAATTCTTTAAAAATGAAATTTATTAAATACTGAATCTCGTTATAAAAAATTCTGGACTTGTCAATTTTTTATTAAATTATTATTCAATTAAAAGTAATATAATTAGAAAAACTTTTTGAACATTTATCAACGTATGTTTATGGCTTTTATCATTAATTAATTAATTAATTAATTAAATTTATTTACTACTATTATTATTATTATTTATTATTTATTTATTATTTACAATTTGTATAAAAAATTTTGATTTAAAGAATGCAAGAAATTTATTTAGAATTATTATAAATAATTTATATTATTATTGACAAATAATTATAAATATTTATTATAAAATGCAAATACTTTAATTCATAAATTAATTTATCAAATTACAAATTGACGATTTAAATGTCCACCTTACATCTCGGTAAATTTAATTAATTAATTAATTAATTAATTATAAAAGCCATAAACATACGTTGATAAATGTTCCAAAAGTTTTTCTAATTATGTTACTTTTAATTGAATAATAATTTAATAAAAATTTGACAAGTCCAGAATTTTTTATAACGAGATTCAGTATTTAATAAATTTCATTTTTAAAGAACATGACTCAATTCCGGATGCTGAACTTGTTCAAGAACATTACTCGAACATGTACAAGAAAATGTACAAGTTCGTTAATGAACATGTACAAAAACTTGTACATTTTCTTGTACAAGTTTTTTCAGCCGAGTAAAACAATTTATTAATAATAAAATCATATTATGGACACGTATGTCAAAGAACGGAAGAAACGCAGTGTTTATCGCATGGAACAATTCGATGAAATTACAATATGTGAAATTTTTTTATGCTTCTTAACCTTGATTTCAGACACAAAGATTACAGAAATATCGGAGCAACAGAAAAGCAAGTATGCAAAGAATCGTTCAAATTTACAATGTTTTTCACGTACGAAGGTGATAATATTATAATGCATAACATTTTTTTGATAATTAAAACAAATTTAACTATAGTTTTATGAAGAAATATACAATAAAAATGAAAAATTTATATAGTGTTAACAGCTAACATTTATCCCAGGTAGAAAAATTAACATTACTAACGTTACTAACGTTAATACCTATAAAAAAATTAAGAAAATGTTTCTAAATTGTATTTTTGAAGAAAACTTTTTTATTTTCATTACCGTTTCCACTTTCACTTTTTCTAATTCTCATTCCCATTTCCACTTCCACTTTTTATAATTTTCATGCCCATTTTCACTTTCACTTTTTTATTTACATTACCACTTTCACTTCCACTTTTTCTAATTCTCATTCGCACTTCCATTCCCACTTCCACTCTTTCTAATCCTCATTTCCACTTTCACTTCCACATTCACTTTTTCTAATTTTCATTCCCATTTTCACTTTTTTATTTTCATTACCACTTCCACTTCCACTTTTTCTAATTTTTATTCCCACTTCCTTTTTTCTAATTTTCATTCCCACTTCTACTCCCATTTTTTCCACTTCTAATTTTCATTAGCTGTTGCCATTTCGACTAAAACTCTTTCCAATTTCTATTTACCTAACCATTTCCACTTTTTTTAATTACCATGGATGGAAATTAGAAAAAGTGAAAGTGATAATGGAAATTTAAAAAATTAGGAATGGAAGTGGGAGTGAAAATATAAAAAAGTTGTAATGAAAATAAAAAAGTGAGAGATAAAATGGGAATGAAAATTGAAACAAGTGGAAATAGGAATGAGAATGAAAATTAGAAAAAGTGGCAGTGGCAATGAAAAAAAAAACTGGAAGTGGAAATAGGAATGGGAATGAAAATTAGAAAAAGTGGAAGTATAGCAATGAATATAAAAAAGTGGAAATGGGAATGAAAATTAGACAAAGTGGAAGTGAAGTGGGAATGAGAATTAGAAAGAGTAGAAGTGAGAATGGAAATGCGAATGAGAATTAGAAAAAATTTAAGTGAAAGTGAAAGTGGTAATGGGAAAATAGTGGCAAAGTTTCTGTGAAAATATATTTTAGAAACTCTTAATTTTTTTTATAGGTACTAACGTTAGTAACATTAGTAACGTTAATTTTTTCACCTGGGATATAAAACAAGGTTATCATTATTTTCATTTAGTATATACTAAATTCGTTAATAAAGATTCTGAAAAAAATTGAAAAAAAACATGAAGTATTTGAAAATAATTCTGTTAATTGTTATAATTGTTAATGGTAAATATATACTAATTATTTATTTATTTATAACATAATCAAAGATTCTATGGCTGTATAGAATCCTTAACGTTACAAGTATATTATATTTATGATTAAAAATAGAGAAGACGAGGGCAAATTGTAATAATATAATTACTCTGATTATTTGCAGGCTATGTTTCGTTTGCAACTATAAAAAAAATTGGATTTCATAATATGACCTTTACTGAATTTAAGCAGGCTTGCAAGAATCAAAATCATAGGCTAACTGAAGCACGTAAAATAACAAACAATCTTCGTGACGATTTTACTGGAAATTGTACAGATTCTAATCATCAAAAGAAGATTAAAGATTTAGTTAATGAAATATTGCCTTGTTTTGATAATAATAGTCAGCCAAACGAAGCTGATTTGGAAACTATTTATCAAAATATTACAAGAAATTTGTGCTTTCACTATGATATTGGTAAATTTATATAATAAATTAGTTTTTAAAAAAATGTATTTATTGATGTCGCTATTATTTTTAAAAAATTTATAATCATTGAACGTAAAGTTTTTGTTCCGCTTTTACCAACCAGAGCACTGTTCGACACGATTCTTGACCCACAAAAAAATCCATAATTTTTGGAAACTAGAACCCAAAAAAAATACCCGTGTCTGGCTATTTTGCTAGATCAAGTCGTTTGTGGTTTTTAGGGGTGAAAACAACCCCTAAATGAAAAGTGACAAGATATCTTTTAAAAATTATTAATATTTTATAAAACTTGGTATCTGGGGGTTTTCTGAGTCGTTGATTATTAATCTGTTGTCAGATTTCCAAAATTTAAAATGGCGGATCCAATATGGCGGTCAAATTTTTAAAAAGTTATTAATTTTTTATTTTATTTCCGCCATTTTGAATTTTGAAAATGTAACTTCAGATTCGACATCAGCGACCCCAGAAACCCGTAGATACTAAATTTTATAAAAAATTAATAACTTCTTAAAATGTTGACCGCCATATTGAATCCGCCATTTTGAATTTTGAAAATCTGACATCAGATTAATAATCAACGACTCAGAAAACCCCCAGATACCAAGTTTTGTAAAAAATTGATAATTTTTAAAAGATATCTTGTCACTTTTCATTTAGGGGTTGTTTTCACCCCTAAAAATCACAAACGACTAGATCTAGCAAAACGGCCAGACACGGGTAATTTTTTTTTTTGGTCCTAGTTTCCGAAAATGTTGTATTTTTTTGTAGGTAAGAAAAAAGTTGAATTTTGTTAGACGCCCAGTAAAGAACGATTTTTTGAGATAGCAGTTCGGACAATTGAGCAAGCCGTTTGCTCAATTGTCTAAAATGCATTCGGACAATTGGAGTTAGTGTTTTAAAATTCTCGGTAAAATTGAAACCTGAGAAGGTAAGAAAGAAAATTGCGGTAAATTACCGAAAAAAAGAGAATTTATGAGAATATTCATTTAAGTGATTGATAATTGCCTTTTTTAAATCTAAATATGTATTTTTATAGTATGTAAGTTATAAATAAACGACCGACATGTTATTAAATGAATAATTTGAACAATGAATATAATAGACTGTAAGGGTGCAGTCCCATGGAGCAGATTAGGAGAAAAGATTTCAGCCAATCAAAAGTTAGTCTCTCGCGGCAAATTTTGCATTTCCGTTAGAGACTGTTTTTTTATTGGTCAACGTCTAATCTGCTAATCTGCTCCATGGGACTGCACCCTCATTTTCTCTGTGTTCTTACTGACAAGATGACAGTCGGGTATATATGCCTGCACTTTTATCATTGTCTAACACGTGCGTCGTCATGACAACATGTGTGTTAGACAAGGATAAAAGTGCAGGCATATAAATGTACCTGATTCAATATAATAATGTAATATTATATCAATATTAATATATTAATATATATATTATATATTGTAACAAAGATATTTTTCATTATAATAATAATTGTACAGTCAGGAACATACCCAAGTAGCACGATATATCAACCAGATGTCACGGTGATATCACCGGGGAATGTCACCGTGACATCAGGAAAATGTCAAAATGTCCGCCTTACGGTGATATCACACGGTGACATCGAGGTGATATCATGGTGATATCACAGTGATATCACATTCATATCACGGTGATATCATGGTGATATCACCGTGATATCATGGTGATATCACCGTGATATCATGTTGATATTTTACAGGGACTTAAAATTTTTAATAATTTAAAAAATAATAATAAATAAAAAAAATAATAAAAATAATAATAATAATAAAAAAATAATAATAATTTTTTAAAAATTTTAAGTCTCTGTAAAATATCAACATGATATCACCGTGATATGAATGTGATATCACTGTGATATCACTGTGATATCACCTTGATGTCACCATGATATCACCTCGATGTCACCGTGTGATATCACCGTAAGGCGGACATTTTGACATTTTCCTGATGTCACGGTGACATTCCCCGGTGATATCACCGTGACATCTGGTTGATATATCGTGCTACTTGGGTATGTCTGTACTTTTATCCTCGTCATACACGTTGTCATGACAACGCACGTGTCAGACAAGGATAAAAGTACAAGTAAAAATTCTCATAAATTCTCAGAGAAAAAACGATCCGGTAATTTACCGGTAAATTACCGTAATCTTCTTTCTCTTCTTGACGTAATTTACTGTCTTTAGAACACTAATTGGAGTGTTTGTTCAATTGTCCAATGCATTATGCCCAATCATCCGCAATATTTCTCGTGTCTAAGAAGCTGCTAAAATAATATGAAAAACTATTGAAACATTGAAAAAACGGTAGAAAATGCATAATTCTTGATATATACAGAAAAAGAAAGTATAAAAATACCTCAATCGAGGAAAAGGAAAGAGTTTTCCGAAAAATCACTTCTTAACTGACAGTATACTGCTGTACCTGACATTTTATGGGTAAAGAAGAGAAGATTATGATAATGAGTGACACTTCATTATCGACTCTCAATATTTGTCGAATGGTAAAATATAATGATATTTCTATTCATTCTTAAATTATATATAATATATATATTTTTTATTTCTAACAATTTTTAAAATTTTATGTATTTGATGTATAATTATATATATTATAATACATAATATAAATAATATTAATATAATATTATTAATTAATAATAATATATAATTATAATTATACTTATGTACTAAAGAATTTTAAATAATTAAACTAATTTCTAATTTAATTAATTTAATTAAAATTTAAATAAAAATATTTAAATTAGTACTAAAAAAATATAAACATATAATAAAAACATAACAATAAATGAAATATAAAAGTAAGAAAATTTTTAATTCAATTAATTCAATAATTATTCCTTTTTTAAAAAATCAGACAGAAATCTACTATTATATTTTACCATTCGACAAATATTGAGAGTCGATAATGAAGTGTCACTCATTATCATAATCTTCTCTTCTTTACCCATAAAATGTCAAGTACAGCAGTATACTGTCAGTTAAGAAGTGATTTTTCGGAAAACTCTTTCCTTTTCCTCGATCGATGTATTTTTATACTTTCTTTATCTGTATATATAAAGAATTATGCATTTTCTACCGTTTTTTCAATGTTTCAATAGTTTTTCATATTATTTTAGCAGCTTTTTAGACACGAGAAATATTGCGGATGATTGGGTATAATGCATTGGACAATTGAACAAACACTCCAATTGTCCGAATGCATTTTAGACAATTGAGCAAACGGCTTGCTCAATTGTCCGAACTGCTATCTCAAAAAATCCTTTTTTACTGGGCGGTGGAGTACACGGAAAGAAAATAAATATCAAATTTTGTAAAAGTATTTTCAAGTCGTGGATAATATTGAAAAAAGCGAAATTTCCATATAAGAAATACTAATCTTTAATAAACTTTTATGAAATTTACAGTAATTATAATAAAAATTGGTAGAAGGTATTTGATTCATTATTATTAAATGCTACTAAATTTTATTAAATCCTGTATAATGTTTATAAGAGTTTATTAAAGATTAGTATTTCTTATATAGAAATTTTGCTTTTTACAATAATTTCCACGACTTGAAAATACTTTTACAAAATTTGAAAATGCTTTTATAAAATTTGATTTTTATTTTCTTTCCGTGTAAGAATGCGGTTACAATGATTTTAAACAATTATTTTAATAATTTTAAATAATGCCAAAAAATTTTTTTTTGAAGTGTTAAAAATAGTCTTTTCTAGACTGCAATTTGTATATATTTAAACTAATTTAACTGAATTTTCATTTAATAAAATTACAATTTTATTTAACACTATTTGTTATTTAAAGAAAATGTTCGATTTTTGGGGTGAAATGTTAATGAAATTCAGGATGGACAGTAGGTTAAAATATCAATAATTTTTTCAGTCAAGCAGCATCAGGCCAATCAGAACTGCTTTAATGGAAAAGATAAAGTCCATAAATGTCAGTTAGCTCATTATCGAAAAAATAAAAATATATCTACTGGTAAACTCTTCTTGACACTGGGAATGACTCATTCACACCAAGAGTGCAAGTAAATATATTATATTATTTATTTATTGATAGTTCCAATTTTTTTCTTCTTTTCTTCAAACTCTTTAAATCTGATTTAGTGAGAATTCGTTCACTAATTTAAATTAGTGAAAATTTCTACTAGGAAATTTTCAGTCAATTTTTCAATACAACTTTATAGTAAATAAAACAGTAATATTTTACTAAAAATAATTAGTGAACGAATTCTCACTACTTCAAATTGAGAAAATAGTATTTATTTAATAATATTAATAATAATAATAATAATGTAAATATATGTACAATATTATAATTAATTATATTTTATTTACAGCTTTATAAAAATAAGAATTGAGTGTTCATCGAGTGGAAATGTAACTAGTTGTCCACGTGAATTTCAAGTTAAACGTGACAATTTAATTAACAATTATGTTTCGAACTTAAAGTGTGCTTAAAAAAATTTTGTTTTCTAAAAGCAAAGTTTTAAAAAACTTTATACTAAAAAATAAACATTATATATATATATACCTATGCATGTTTCTTCATTTTAGTCATTTTTGTTGTAGTTAAAAAATTAAATTCAATAAATTTTTAATATAACTTTACTTAGGAAAAATTTTAATAGTCCTATGGTCCTACACGGAGAGAAATCTGGTGCGATTTACGCATGAGCATGTCCATAGGAATATAGCATGGACACTTCCAAGCAAAAACCATAAGATTCCATCTGAATATCAGGTGAGACTCATGCAATAATACCTCGCTCACTTAGGATTTTTGCTTGAAAGCGTCTGTTACTATATTCCTAAGGACATGCTCATGCGTAAATCGCACCAGATTTCTCTCCGTGTATCATTTTTTTTTCCTTATTATATTTTTCGACAAAAACATTTTTTTGCTGAAATAGAAAAATGAAAAAATTTAACCTAAAAAAAATCAATTAAACTTACTTTTTCTTCTCCTTTTTCGTGATGAAAAATGAAATACTAATTTGCATCTTTGTTGAATGCATGTTCAATTAATTAAAAGATTTTTTAAATCATTAAATAAAAAACTCACGAAAACACCCCATATGTGATGTGAGACAGTATACCATAAAGGTCAACGCACAATAGCTTTGCGAAAGTTGTTCGCGAAAGAGATGCATGAGATAGAAAAGAATACGAATATATCTCTGTCCTTTTTTAGTGATGGAACATCGATGTTACACAACATTGACATCGAAAATATTAAACATCGAAATGAATCGATGTATCGATATAAAAACATCGATGTTTTCGATGTTTTTACCATCGAATATTTAGAAATTAAAAGATTTACTTGAATCATTAAATAGTACAACCATATTTTTAAAATAAACAAATCTTTTAATAGTATAATAGCTTAGAATAAAAAATTTAATTATTAAATTGCAAAATAATAAGCATTAAAAATAATTTGTAATCTATAATTGCAATATTGCTGCTGTCAACTCAAAGATAATCTGAAAAAGGAAATTTGTATCTGTCTCTCTTACTCCAATGTAGATTTTCCGTTCTGGACAACTTTTATCGAAGTTGTATATGCTCCATTAGGCCGTTTCCAAATTGGGATTTTTGTTGCACTTTTGATAAAGTGTATACTCGGGAAGTATGCTGTGTCCTTTTTTTCGCATGGAAAAACAAGGATACTGCATACTTCCCGAGTATACACTTTACCAAAAGTGCAACAAAAATCCCAATTTGAAACGGCCTTATGGAGCGGTCACACCGCGGCTGCAGGAGCAGTTGCCCATGGCAACCGTGTAAGAGTAAGAGAGATAGAAGATTTTCCATCTCTCTTACTCTTACACGGTTGCCACTGGCAACTGCTCCTGCGGGCGAGGTGTGACCGCTCCATTAGTGTTTGATTGGTCAATATTAACACACGCCATCTAAAAAGAGAAGGTTGTTTTTTTTTCATAAGTGAGACATGATTGGGGCAGACATCGATTCCAAACATCGATATATGGAAAATATCGAACCTAAAACATCGACATCGAAAACGAAACATCGATGTTCCATCACTAGCTTTTTTAACGCATGCATTCCGTTCGTCAACGACAGTGATGGGTACGTATAATACATGACGTATAATACATGACGTATAATACGTGGTTTTCTACGTGTATAATACTACGTATATTACGTGCCAAGTTTTCTGCACGATGTATATTACATTTGATCACGTGATTTAAGAGCGGCAATTTTAAATTCTTCTTTAAAATACATCATTCATTACACTTTTCCAGGGCAAACACTCTTTAAAAGATTTTCTTTTACTTTTTCTGACCATTTCTATTTTATTTTAAGACTTTAATTTAAATAGAATGATAAGAAAAATTCGTTATGGCAAAAATCAGAGGATCATATATAGATGTCAAAATGTCAGTGGTTTTCTACATGATTTCATACATTTTATACGTATATTACGTCGAAAACGTATTATACGTACAAAACTTCGTGTGACGCGTCACAACCCATCACTGGTCAACGACTTTCGCGAAACTCTTGTGCGTTAGCCCTTATGATGATTTTACACTCACCGAAACTCCCCCACTTGACGGGACGACTGACATGAGTTAAGTCGGTTCTACAATGGGCACGTTTGTACGTGAACGTGTACGTTCCGTGCTGACGTCACTCATTTGCAGAACATTGTGACGTCAGCACGGAACGTACACGTTCGCGTACAAACGTGCCCATTGTAGAACCGACTTTAGAACAAAGATAGAGATAAAGATAGTCTCTGTCTTTGTTTAATTCGTGCCAGTCGTCCCGTCGAGTTGGAGAGTTTCGGTGAGTGTAGAATCAGCATTACAGAATGGAGAAAGTGTCGCACAGAAGATTGCGTACGTAATATTTGGGACGTTCCATTTTACATGAAGGCCTTTCTCCAATAGGATCCTAAACTCTTGCGTTGCGTAAGGCCTGAGCAGCATAGAAACGTAACCGGAATCGTAATCGCAAACGCAACCGGAAGAATGAGTTAGAGAACGATAGACATATTGTTTGTCCTTCTCTAACTCATTCTTCCGGTTGCGTTTGCGATTACGATTCCGGTTACGTTTCTATTCTGCGTTGGCCTGTATGCATTGCATCGGTTGCTATTGGCAACCAATGCTAAAATCAACGCGTCAGTCACGCAACGCAAAAGTTTAGGTTCCTATTGGAGAAAGGCCTTGAAGAAATTCTCAAGTGTGTTACGTTTACTTACCAATCCCTGTTGCATATTCCTGGCAATCCCGGTATGACGTACTGACACTGGCTATATTGTACATTTTTATACATTTTAAGAATAATTTTTATAAAATTAAATATTTGTCAGATGTATTTGATTAACGATTTTCAAATATTTTGATGGTATGTAAAAAATGAACATATTCTTTTTTTTATCTATTTTACAATTAAATTTTGTGTATTAATAACTTTTCGAAAATTTATTTTGTTGAATGTGTCGAGCAGCACGTTTCTCGACAAATAGACGTTTTTAAAACAACAATATTTTTTCTTTTTTTTCATTTGTACAATTTTATAGAAACAATTTAGTTGCCTGTTATAATTTCACAATTTCGCGTAGTGAAATTTATTGGTTTTGTGGATCTTGTGTCGATAATTGTCAGACACGGTATTTGGCCATATTATTAATTGAATTTTATATATTTGCTTTATGTGTTTTTTATATACTACTCCATGGTTTTTTTTACACTTGTTCAATTTCTGCAAAATTTAGTTTTGTGCTGAATTTTTCGGAGTTTTTTTTGGGTTATGTTTCAATATAATTTATTGTACTTGCTAATTTTTTTAGAATTTTGTTTTCTCATTGTTGTTTATTTGTTTTAATTTCATTTTTTTTGTCAAATTTTTTTAATTTAAAAATCATGAAAGAGAAAAATTTATTGAAATTAATTTTCATTTTATTTGTATTGAATTAAAATAAAATAAAAAATTAAATAAAATAACATATGAAAAAACATCGTTTAATGACGATCGCTAAAAAGCTGAAAAAATCAAGCTTTACAGTGACAGACGCTTATTCGCTAATTTTACTTGTCGAAATTATTTATGATTTAATCTATTTGGTCCTGTTAAAAAATTTTTTTCGATGCTGTGAGCTTCGAAGCCATCTTCATAAAGGTGTCAATTAAATAATTTAGTATATCAATTCTGAAATAAGTGTAAATTAAGAAAAAATTTTATATTGCAAAATTTCAGAAATTCCAAAAAAAATATTCATATAATTTAAATTAATTTTTTAACCCTTTTTAATTTACTAAAATTTATACAATTGCTTTTAAATTGAGAAAGCAAAAGCTTTAATTTAATAATAATGAATTGACTTCAGAAAATTTTGTAAAGACTTTGAATAGTTTTTAAAATGTTAATCACAATTTTTTTTATTTAAATAAAAAAAATTTTTATAGCAAAAATTAATGTTTTATTTTAAAAACTAAAAAAAATTGAGGTATTTATAATTATAATCTATATATTTATAATAAAAATAATAATAATGAATTATAATGTTGTGTCAATGTAATTTATTTGCTAATTTTTTTAGAATTTTGTTTTCTCCTTGTTGTATATTTTGTTTTCACTTCATATTTTTTTTGTCGATCTGTTTGTGAGTAGCACATTTTAAAACTTGTACTGTACACCCAGAGAAATGATTTATTTAAACCAAATAAAATATATTTGAGTTAAATAAACTTATATTTGTCTCAGAGCCTACTAACTTATTTATTTGGCGTAAATAAAAATTTTATTTGTCAGAAATAAATTTTTCTTTGGCTCAAATAAATTTTTTATTTCAATGAAATGAAATATATTTGCAACAAATAAATGAGTTAGTAGGCTCGGAGACAAATATACCATTTTTCTGAGTGTAATAAAAATGAAACTGAAGTAACCAACGTTGATTCAACGAAAAAATAAAATTTAAGAATTCTAATTCCCATCAATGAAATTTGATTATTTTCAACCCTCTGAAACCTGAAATAAAAAAAAACAATATTTATCATTGTTTAGTCCCGGATTTTCCGAAAATTTCGAAATTTCAAATAATTTTGATATTTCCTCGAATCGGAAGCAATTTTTCTCGTTTGATAATTATTTGTTTCGATGCTAGAAGCATTTTAAAAAACAGATAAATTGCTTCCAAGTCTGGGAAAGCAGTGATTTTGAATTTTTTGTCACGGATTTTTTTCGAAAATTCCGAAATTTCAAGTAATTCTCTATTTCCTCACCTCGGAAGCAATTTTTCGCTTTTGATAATTATGTATTTCAATGCTAGAATCGTTTTAAAACACAGGAAAATTGATTCCAAGTCGGGGAAAACAGTGATTATGATTTTTTTCTCACAGATTTTCCGAAAATCTCGAAATTTCAAGTAAATTTCTATTTCCCCGACTTGGAAGCAAAATTTCTTTTTTTTAAAAAGCTTCTAGCATTGAAATAAATAATTATCAAACAAGAAAAATTGCTTCCGAGCGAGTAAATAGCAATTTACTTGAAATTTCGAGATTTTCGAAAAATCCGTGACAAAAAATCCAAAATCACTGCTTTCCCCGACTTGGAAGCTTCTAGCATTG